TCTTCTTTACCATTTACATGACCTTATCAAAGAACTGGTACAGGTAACTTCAAGGTAAATGTATCGTATTTTCCGGAGTGTTTGCAGCCCCAGGGTTTTAAAGGTTGTATTTTTGTTGATATTTGGAGTATAAGCCGCACGTGAAGAGGGGCTGAGCGGTGTCCTTCATACACTGGAGATTTGAATTAATTCCAACTGTATAGTCAAGAGTACACTGTGGTTATGCCAATCTCAGTTTACCTGCAAGAACATGCTGATGGAAACGTTCAATCTTGCCAGTACTATCCATCCATTGCACTGTTAGTGAGTGTCCCCCTCAGTGGCGTGTCCAGGATTTGGCTGAGGGGGGGTTGCGGCCGGGATGGGGTGGGGGTAGATGACATCATGCTACTGTCCCAGGTCAGCCATTTTGAAAACCGATGTCAGGAAGCTCCTCCTGTAGCCCGCTTCTTCAACAGTTATTCACCCGAACGGCCCCAGGGCCAGAGACAGTTCCGGAGGATCAGCGCACCACATGGGGACAAGTGTCGACCTTGCTTCAAGTTCCCTTTCTTCGTGGGCCTGAGGGACGATCGAGCATGATGTTTTGGGGAAGCATTCTCTGGAACGCTCTCCCCTCTGATTTTAGAGTGATACGTGTCCCTGGTCCCTTCCGAAAAACTCTTTCTCCCATTGCTATACTTACTTTGTGAATATCCTCGTTAAACTTTTATTATCTGCCATAAATTCCAACCTTCTCATCTATCAATCATTTGTGCATGCATGTCTATAAAATCAACCACGTGTTCCTGACTCCATGAGATTGTCTGTCTATTCCTTGACTCCATGAAATTATTGTCTTTCTATTTCTGACTCCATGAAATTGTTCTTCATATAAATTTTTCCCTTTCTTCTTTTGGTCCTTTCTGTCTTATATTATTATTATCATTTCTTGTTTTCCCTTGCATATCATTCTGTGAGAACCTGTCCTATGGGCAGGTGAGAAGGCATCTCTGCCTGTGCATTTGGTGAAGTAAAATAAACAACAACAACAACAACAACAACAAGCCGTAAATCTCACACACCACGAGCAGTATTTCTGTACTCGCAGCAACAATGTACATTGTAAACTTCAAATTTGCCGTTATGTGAGCGAATCAACTGCAATTATTTATGCGAGTCCAACAATTTCTCACCGCTCTCAAAGCATCCTTTACATAGGCAGCGGTACTTGTCACTGTGCGCTGTTCTTCATGTTCTGGCTGCTCGCTGACAACAGGTTCTTCCACGTCTGGTGGAGTGTGACTGTCAGTCCGCTCCGAAAGTTCAACTGGAATAACAGCGACTTCATCACTCCCACTGTTTCCTGTTGGAGCGGCAGCAGGAGTTGCGCCGCCACAGGAACGCTTTACAAAAATTCCAGGCTCTGCTGGCTAGAGCTTGGCCTTTTGGGATGTCCCTGAGACATCGAAGAAAAGCCTTCGAGTTAACCAAAACACGATTCGAACGAGGATGATCGCCTGAGCCCTCGGCATTCGAATCGTGTTTTGGTTGACTCGATCGAAGACTTTTCTTCGATGTTTGTACCGTTGAAGACGCGTCGAGCGCGTCCCAGCAGGGATCACACTGTACAACAGTACACAGTCAGGTCACCGTGTTTCTGTAGCCGTGCATGCTCACTGTACGTAGACTCTACTCTGTAGACTGTACTGAGTCTGTAGTGTGTACATCAACACCAGCTCGAGCACCGCATGCGCGCACCGTCCAACCGCTTTTGGACAATCGTTTCAGGCCGCGCGCGCCCCGAGCCTAGTCTAGCTCGACCCGGCGCGCGCCCTGTATTATTTTTCGAAACCTAGGTCGAAATTTTTGAGGGGGGGGCGCGCGCCCCCCGCGCCCCCCCCCCCCCCCCTAAACCCGCCACTGCCCCTGTCTGTGTGCTCTCGGTTAGGAGCATGCTGCAGACCTGAAGACTGCAATTCAGCGTATAGAGAGTGCTCAGCAAGCCACGGACAACCACCGAATCAAGTATGAACAGCAGGTGGCTGCACATGACAAGTCGGCCCGAGAACTGAAGAAGATGGAGGGCGCGATAGCCAAAATGAAGCGGACCTACTACGAGTCATTGGATCACTGCCAGGAAGAAGAAAGTGAAATTGATGCTCGAATTGGACCACTTGAACGGATGATGGAGGAAGTGCGAGAAGAACAGCAGAAGGTGAGGAATGAGATGGTTTGTGTGGAGGAAGAGCCCTCAAAATACTCCTCCTCCACTCGGTTATATGCTGCAAACTATGTTGCTGCCCATTCTTTGTTTAACCCTTTCAGTGCCAAGGACGAGATAACTCGTCCTACAGACCCCCACGCAATTGGCCAAGGACGAGATATCTCGTCCTCGTAGTGCGCACTACTATATCTCACCGGCCATGCACTACAATCTAGCTTGGCCGATTGTGGCTCTTCGAGGGGAAACTAGGGGTTTTCCCCTACTGAATAAGACCTCACTCGCCGTGTTTGAGTAATTAAGGGCGCAGCAGCATACAATCAGAACGCTCGGGCGAAAAAAACATAATATTATTTCGATTCAGAAACAATTAGATTGACGGAACGTACTTTAGGTCTCTCTAGCTGTCACTCAGACACGGCGAGTCGCCGCATGTCGGCTGAAGAGATGCTCCAGTCCATCATGGACTCGGACATTGATGACTGGAGCTGCGATAGTGAAGGCGATGACTCGGATGCGGACATAGCCGTCCGCGATCGTGACGCAAAAAATTTCGCGGACGAGTCCGCCGTGGTCGATGTCGTACCTACTGCCGTGGTTGCCTTGGACGGCCCTGAGGATATCGGAGATGTCGATGTCGAGTTTGAGCAGGGCGCAGCAGCACACGCTACGCCAGCGCAGGACAACAAGTCGGTTTGAGTTGATACGACTAAATTGGAAAATAAATCAGATTTTTATGAAAATGGCCCAGCCAACAGCGGACATCTGGCCTGGCACTGAAAGGGTTAACGATTGGGTTGATGCCAGGAAACTTTGAGTATCAGCCGAAACTTTCCGTAACACCATTTTGATATTGTGTTCTCTCAATCATCGGTCATGTGTGATTGGTAAGTCAGCACTCAACGTTAAAAATGGCTGCAAGGCATACCCATCTGCACTGCCACTATATGTTATGATGTTCAAGGCCGTCACAGCCGGGGCGGCTGGGACGGCTGAGGTCGCCCCATATTTGCGGCCGATTTGTTTGGTGCACACTGCAACAAAGCGCGATGATCGCAGCTCAGCGCAAACGTGGCAAATGATGAAGAATCCTTGTCCCCAATCGTAGCGTCTTCTTCGTTTGTTGCAGAATCAAAAGTCTTTCATGCATTGTAGTTACACTGAAATGGCGCCAAATACCCTGAAATGCTTGCAATTGGCTTCAAGTTTTGAAATTTTTTCCCGGGGGACGACCCCCGCACCCCCCCCCCTTCCATGGCCACCCCACCTCCAAAGTCGGTGCGACGGGCCTGATGTTGATCAAGTGGAAAATGAGCTTGTTGCAGGATTGTTATACTCTAAAGGGACATCTGGATTCACTGGCCAGCATCATCTACTGTGGCCTGCACTGACCAAACATCCTAAGTATGTTTCTTCGTCCACATATACACACAAGTTGATGAAGTGTATAGAATTCACACTGGTAATAATAGCCTGGAAAATGCAGTATTTCAAAGTATATTTCAATCTCCGAGGCTACATTTTGCTCGTGTCCTGTAGATTGTGCCACTGTATGAGGAAGCAGTGAAGGGGCTGGAATGCATCTCTGCAGCTGCCATTACCGAAATCAAATCATACCATCACCCGCCGGAAGCCCTTCTGCTAGTTTCCGATGCTGTTTGCGTGTTGTTTGACAAGCAGCCCAGGTAAGGTTCAATCACCACACTGTGTTTATTGCACCCACTACTTTTTTAGTTCTAGGTGTATTCTAAGTATATGTAGTAGTGCAGAAGGACAGGTGATGGCTCTTGCACACTTTTAGTGCACAAGACAATGCTACATGACCTACCCAAACACATCCACTCTCAGTGAGCCAGGAGCAGGAACGGGAGTGCCGGTCTAATGAGTGGATTACTGAGCCCAGCATCACCGGGGTGAGGGGAGTAAAATGACTTTTAAATCAAATCAGCCTTTGCTGGGTAAACACGTGTTACTGAATATTAGTCACCGTTGTTGTGTGCAATGTAAGCATCTCATCTGCTGGGTATGGTACTCTGTTTGTTCTTGGTGTAGCTGGGAAAATGCTAAGCAGCTGTTCCTCAGTCGTGGGTTCATGAACGAGCTAGTCAACTTTGACAAGGAGAACGTCAGCAATGCCAAACTGCGACAAATCCGTCAGTACATTCGGAATCCAGGTTTTGATGATGGGATTATTGGCTGGGCTAGTCATGCTTTCATCGGAGTGTGTATCTGGTTGAAAGCATTGATACGCTATACGGAAGTCAACAACAAGAGCAAGCCACTGAAGGAAAGGCTTTACAAACTGGAGCAGAAAATGAAAAAGGTGAGCCATTGATATCAGAAAGGCATGTACTTCAATCAAGTATGATACTGTCTGTATGTGTGTTTTTGCTTTTCATTCATATTGTCTGCGTTATCTATACATGTATCTATTTTCTACTGCTGCTGCTGCCACAGCTTCTGCCCGTGACCGCTGCTGATGTTCCGCTGCCGCCACGGCTGCTGCCACTTACTGCTGCCGCTGCTTCTGCTATCGCTATTGTTTGATGCTTTTGCTACTGGTGCCACTGCTGCTGCTGTTGCTTTCCTGCTCATTTCCTGCTGCTGCTGCTGTATTAACAGTGCGGTCTGCTTGGGGCTCAAAATTGATATGTTGTGAATACCTCGTCCTGTGGTAAGAGACGGGTGAAGAAAGAGTGTATGTTTTTCTCACGGTTCGCATCAGACTCGGCTAGAGACCGAGTTTTCCGCATCCGTAGGAACGCCACCGCCCTTCAAGGATCCAGGCGCAGATGCAGCTCATAAAGCAGTGCGTATGATGCAAGCGTGATAATATTAATTTTAAATGCTCCTGTTTCACAATGTGGCTGCTTGTAGGCCAAGGAACAACTTGATGAGAAACGAAAGAGAGCAGGTGTCCTGCGCAAGGAGATCAACAAGAAAATGGAGGTGTACGGCGAATGTGCGGCACAAACAAAGGAGCTGGAAAAGCCAATAGTGGTAGGTCCAGCTACATGTGCTCGTACTCGTACATGTGTGCACTTTGTACTTATAGGTCTCATGTTTCTATGGTGTTCTATTGTAGGTTACACTGGTGCAATGCTTGTTGTCAATATGCTTCATGGCAGTATATGCCAGGTTGTGTGGTGTTCTATTGAATATTTCCCTGTGTTCTTTTTGCCGTTGCTCTTTTCAGATAGCACGGTATACAAAATAAGGTATGCAGGCATGCTCACACACATGCATGTCAATTGAAAGTGCCTGTTTTTCTATACACTTATAATTATCTCTTGTGTGGTGTCTGGTGCTCATGTCTATGATGGACATATTGCATGTTGAATAGAGTATGGAGACACAAGTGCAGACCAACTCAGCACTCGTCTCAAGCCTGCAGAAAGATTATGAAGCCTGGTGCAAGGAAGGAATGGAAACCTCTAAGCTTCTCGACTCTGCTGCTGGAGATGCACTGTTGGGTGCTGCTGCAGTCTGCTACGGGTCATTGATTCCAGTGGATAGAATGGAGAAGCTTCTGGATTCATGGAGGGCAATGTGCCAATCGGCTGGTGTCACAGTGAGAGAGGTAAACACCACTACACGTTACAGCCTGGTGGCTGTCACCACCGTGTCACCACCGTGTCATGGACATTGGTACCCTATACCTTTGATCTAGAGATGTGGACCAGATCAGATATATCGTTCCTTACTATACTGTATCTTCCATTCATGTAATAGCAGGATAGTTGAGAAGAGATTGGAAAATACTGTGTTCACTTTCTTCAATCTGCCCACATTTCACTTTCTTTCAAATGTTCAACTCTCCTAAACTTTCATGGATGTTACCATATGAAACTCGGATGTTGAGCCAATGATAAATGGAGAAAGGAAAGGAACATACTTCCTCCGCGTCATCGAAATTGTCGCAGTTTGACTTTTGATATAAAACGGGGTATTTACTCACCAGCACTCGTACCAGAGGCAAGGAATCGGACATAGGCGATAATCATCAGTATAGGGTGACGGCAAAGTTCTATTTTCTGTTATTGGAAGCTGGAATTTTTGAACTAGACGCAATCTCTTCCCTGATGTCGCTGCGATGGTAATTTCGACTCGCTGAGATCAGTCAGGTGTTGCAGCCTGCACATTTCTCGTGCTTATGGCCATTCACTCAAGCCTCATCACTGTTTTACCTTAGCTGGGGCTAGAATGACTTCGTGGAACAAGTGGCAGTGCTTGGAGAAACATCGAGGGGTCAGCAAACTAAATGCCTCCAACAGCGATAAAATTTGTCGCTCTGGCTGAGACACTCAGTACGTGATTGTACCTGCAAGAGCCATGTAGACTCTACAAGTAGTGCTAGTGATGCACGCGCAGGTGCCGTACCATGGTATACCAGTGATGGTGAAAAAGACGTTGCGCTGGACGTGATAGTACACTTACCTGCATGAGCTGTGACCACACAGCTAAAATAAATGGGCATGCCACGGCTAAAAAAAGTTCATTTCAAGATCGAGGTGATTCCGCCGACGGTAATCAACCGACCTTGCAACGATCGTGTATTCTTCCTAGGCTTCGTTGGTGGTGAAGTAGAAATCATCCAGAGCTAGCAGACGACAAGCATAGCAGCTCTTGTCCTGTGGAGAAAGTAAAAGCGCTTGAGATGAGGCGTGACCAACTTTCAACCTTCCTTGAAATATTTCGGAACGATATTTTTGCGTCCATTGACATCAGCGACGACGAGGACTTCATCTCTGCATGAAAACTCTCAGTCAAACTGTCCTGGAACGTTACTCTAGTCTTCAGACTATCATACTGTGTAATAAGGTTTGAATGGCTTAGCCTATGGAGTTGTCAGTAACAAGTGACAAGTCACTAGTCAAACTGCGACAATTTCGATGACGCGGAGGAAGTAAGTATTGATACGAGTTAAGAGTGACTGTTCCCGTGGGACTTTAACTTGTACTCATTTTTGTTGCGCTTACCTTCCCCTCTCTGGTCTCTCCTTAACTTGGAACCTTCCGAGTTGGAAAGCTATTGGTTAGCGCGTCGGAGATGTGTTGGAGCTAGGTGTCAGGTCGTCGAATGTCTCAGTACTCCATCAGTTTCGTGCCTAGTTGTTGCACTTTCTCACTGTATGCAGTGTCTGCTCTAGGATTGTAGGACAGCCGGGTACACGTGTACCTGGCGCAACCATTTCAACCGGGTCGGAGCCGGGTACACATGTATTCAACGCGCGACTCTGCATGATCTGTCACACATTCAAAGTTCGAACGTGTTAAAGTGCCAACCGGGTCACAGGTGACCCGGTACTATATTTTCAACCGGGTCCAAGCGCCGCCCAACCGGGTCGATTACCCGGCTCACCCGGCTCTGGAGCAGACACTGGTATGTAGTATCTAGTTGCAGTGGTGGACGGTTACTCTTAACTCGTATCCGCATGCTACCATACATTACCAGTAATAACTGTTTCGTAAATACAGTAAAGCCTGTGTTTGCCGGACCCTGTACCATGCGGACTGATCCTATACTGACCGGATGCATTTCATGCACCAAAGTGCTGGGGATCGAATGTGCATCCCTGGATCAAGCGAAATCCCGTCATATCAGGACAGTTTCCGCTGCACCACGGACGTCTGGTTAAGGCAAGTTTTAATGTACATATTACCACTATACAAGCTGTTGGAGACTGTCGGAAAGAGACCATGAGCAATGCTCTGTGTGTGTGTGTTCTGTGTTTGACTTCCTTTGCACAGAATTTCTCACTCCCGGCCATACTGGGTTCTTCTGAGCAGCAGTTCTCCTGGTTCTCTTACGATGTGCCACGACACAGTCAAGCCGTCAGCTGTATCTACAGGCTGCAATGTGCCAGTAGGTCACTGTGCCACCATTGGCCTATTCTAGTTGATCCTGATGACCAAGGTGTTGATTGGCTGCTGAAGGCCGAGATGGCTAGCTATGGTGGTGATGCATCTGAGTTTGACAGCGCACCCGATTGTCTACAGAAGTATGATAGGCTGCCTATCCCTTTCGGCGTTCAGTACAAGCTAGGTGGTGATGATTCTGCTAGGATGTTCAAAGTTGTCCAAGCAGCATCACCTGACCTTGTTGCGCAAGTAGTCAATGCTGCTCAGAATGGTCACATGATTGTTATCGATCATCTGGAATGTGCTGGTGATTTTGCAAGTGTCCACCAGCTCTTTCAGAGGCAATACCTCACAAAGGATGATGTCAGGTATCTGAGCATTTCGGGAGAGCTTGTCAAATGCCATGCAAGCTTCACATTGGTGGGTCGCATGCTTTGCAGTACCGTCACTTTCCCTGCTAGTGCACTCACCACCGCTGGAGCCGGTATTGGCAAGAATGACCCATTGGCTGGCTGCTTTGTTGATGTCAGTTTGACAAAGAAATCGACATGCGCCTTCATGACACAGGAAATCCTACGTGAGCAGGCACCGTACCACAGAATACGCGTTCAACATTTGGACGGGAAAATCTATTCGGCAAGAAAAGAGACAGAAGTGGCTCGGGTAAGACTTGAAATCCACCCAGCATCCTTGTATAGATCAGCAATTTCCTTCCCGTATTAACTACTGCATAATGCTGATGGTGATATACATACGATTATCCTTGATGACCACTGTAACCTGGTTCATATATTCAACATTGCACAGGACAATGATAAAGAGGTATTCTGTATAGCAGAACTGCTGCCTCTGCCTCTGCCTCTGCTGCCGCCGCCACTGCCACCAAAGCCATTACCACCGCCACAAAAAAAGACATACCAATATCAATGTATAAGATCAGATTGGTATGCATACACAGTCAAATCCGTGTGGTGTTATGTGAGTGCCGGGATGTTCTGTTTGCTGCGAATGGTAGCAAGTTATAGTTCTTTGAGCATCCACCAAGCGCATCTGGGAAAGTTTTGCCCAAGAATCAGTTTCTGATTTTCAGTACAGTGTATTGTACTGTTTGATTTTAGGTTCGTGTTTTCATGCTGCTGTGCTGATGTGATTGCTGTTGCAGCATGAACGTTTGCAAAAGTGTCTCAGCCAAAATGGTGGCAACTCCCCAGTGTCACTGTGTATGCAGTTACTCTTGCCCATGCATTGTTCTTTTGTAAGTACTGATGGGAAGAAGCGCAATCATATGTTTGTGCTAATGTTTTGTTGCTGTGCCGCTGCATTACGTGTGTCGTCCATTGCTTCATAGGAGGGATTCCTCAAATATTTGCGGACTGTGGAAGGTGGCCCAAATCTCCTGGAGAACGAAAACATTCTCCTAGCCCAACAGCAGTGTGCTCTTGCACTGGAGAATTGTCAAGCTCAACTGCAACATCTCATCATGACGCAGGCTAGTGAGCTGCAAAAATTCTCCATGTATGATGACATTGGAAGGTGAGTGAGAGTTAGAGAGAGTCTGTGTTAACAAACCCGTTCAGTTTTCCTCTCTAGCATTGGCCTGGGGCTTTTTGGGTATGCCCTCCCCAAAGATGAAAACAAGTCACTTTTCCTGTCAATGACCTTACCATAAATGTATTCTGTTGTGCTTGCCATGTTTTGGCAATCATTCTCACATTGTTTTACTAGGCGTCCACGTATCGCCTGATTCTATTTCCGGCCAGCTGTCTGTTTTGACCTTAGGTCTCATTCCAAAGGTTGATGCCGGTTGGCCTTGAGTTAATCATAAGACAACACATTCTTTATATTGTATTGCATGTATTAGTGAATTCTCTTTGTTTCTCTGCAGGCATGCTGCCATGATCTACAATGGCGTACAGCACTTTGTCAAGTACTATCCACGTTTCCACCTGCCAATGGCCACCTTCGAGCAATGGCTCCTGGATGCAGTGCATGCTCTCCACAGACAGTTCTCGGAAAGCCTGTTGACAGTGGATGCTCATGTCAGCTACGTACTGGATTCTTTAACTCAAGACTTGAAGGATAGGTGCATGCAGCTGGTGCCAGGCCGGCAGCGCCAGGTACTGCTACTGTTCCTTGTCATGCCACTCAAGCGTGAACTCAGCAGCACCTCGGAGGCAGAGTGGTCAACTTTCATCTCAGACATGGAGAATGAGCACGCTAACGTGCCCAGTGACCGTCCGCCTTGGATAAATTATCAGGTTTGTTGTATATGCAATTTCTGTAGACATTCACTTGAAGTAGACTGGAACGCTGCTAAGACGTACCCCCCCCCCCTCGAGAGTGGAAAAAAATACTTACTATCCATTACTATCCAAGGTACTTCTTATCCAAAGTTGAATCCTGCGGCCCCACCAATACGCAAGTAACATGTGTAGTATGTCAAAATGCTCGAAATTATCTTATTGCACCGGCAGAAATATGCCTGGGTATAGTCGTACTGCCACGAAACCAGGTTACCTGCGCTGCATACAGCCTTCTCAGCACTGAGTCAACATACTAAAACGTACCTGTCAAGCAAATCTGTCGTGTGTACAGGTGTATGGAAACATCGAATAGTACATGATGGTATTCAAGGCCAGCTCTATCGGGACATGATGACACGAGTTATGTCCTATCAGAGAACAGCATACCCGTACACATTTGTATATGGTCTTATTGTAGGAAAATCCGTGTGCTGAAAAAGGACCTTAAGAGCTAGGTGCATGTCTCACCCCGGTACGTACTAAGTGAGTTCCGCTGTACTTCTAGATTTTCAGCCATCAAAGAATGAACTCATGCATCTGATGATTTACAAGTGAAGCATGACATGTCTTTTGGTATTTCAGCTTTTCTTTGCCAACCATTATTGACAGCTGCTTGTGCTGTTGTGTTTCCGCAGACCTGGAAGCGTTGCGCCACTCTGCAGAGCACCCACTGTTTTGCTAACCTGTGCTCTGAGCTGAGCGGTGCTGAAAGTGGAACATGGATGGAGTACTATCAAGTAAGTACTCTACCTGATCATTACGTGGAGCAAGTCGTAATATTATGACTTACGAATTCATGGAACATCTGCTCAGAGTGTTACCTATCCCACAGTGAAGTTTGCCAATATATATTTATTGCAACATCTCAAGCCGCAGTCACCAGGGAACACCGGCGAATTTGGAGAGAGTGGGTGTTAGCCAGCCACTATTTAAAGAGACAGAAATACCCCATAGTAGTTTTTTATCCTTTTGTCAACTGGGATCAAACACTTGAAGTTTGGCCTTGAATAGACACCCTTAGCAAACAACGGGAACACTATTTTTTACGGTACTCGTACCTTGATCACCCAAATAGCGTTGAAGCTGCAGCGTAAAAACGTTATGGGGGCTGATTTATCGTTGTGACCAACGGTACATTTTTAGGCCAAATATTGTATGTTTCCCCTTACGGTGATACCGTTACAACATAACGTTTTTTGCTAAGGGTGTCTATGGAAGCATCATAACGTGGCTTACTTGGCCTTCTTTCTCTTCTTCTCGACCTCTCCCGTTCTAGCTTAGAAGGTGTTTTGTCTCCGTTTTCTTATCAGTGATGTGTGTGTGTGTGTGTGTGTGTGTGAAACGTTACTGCATATCCTTATTTACTTCAAGTCATGTGGTACTCGTTTGGTACTCGTGTGTATGTTCTGCTCGTGTCTGTGCACATGTACATGCTTGTGTTCATGCTTGTTTGTGCACATGTGTTTGTGGTACAATGTAGGCACGTCCTTCTCTTATCGACTTGCCCTCAGTAGGCAACACGCAACTATCAGCTTTTCAAGTTGTCTTGTTGTGGAAGGCTCTGAAGCCAGAACTGGTGAGAAAACTGGCCTTCCAGTTCTGTGTTCTATCAACAAACTGTCTATCTTAGGCCAGACATGTGGCTTTTTGCTCTATCTTAGTGCTGTATACTTGGTACAGCGCAGTGAACAGATAGATCAACGGGGTGTTTAGTATTATTGCTCCAGGCTGGTTTGTGTACTGATGGAGTTTCCAGGCTGGTTTGTGTACTGATGGAGTTTCCAGGCTGGTTTGTGTACTGATGGAGTTTCCAGGCTGGTTTGTGTACTGATGGAGTTTCCAGGCTGGTTTGTGTACTGATGGAGTTTCCAGGCTGGTTTGTGTACTGATGGAGTTTCCAGGCTGGTTTGTGTACTGATGGAGTTTCCAGGCTGGTTTGTGTACTGATGGAGTTCAGTTGCACATGCAGTAAGCAGCTCAGTGCGTTGGAAATGGAATCCAAAATGCATTCTTTTCCAATAACCAAGAAAGCTTGTTTTCTAGGGTATGCAGGCTGGGCCAGCCAGCAGCCTCAGCCTCTATTTATGCGTGCATAGTGGAGCATGCTCTGAACTCATACATGCCTCTCTGAGCATGTATCCATTCCTGTATCAATTTGCTGGTAACAGTGTCATTCCATGGTGTGTGTGTGTATATACTCGTGTGTGTGCGTGTGCGTGGGAATGTACGTGGGCATGCACTTGTGTGTGTGTATATATGTGCTTGTGTACATGTATTTCTGTGTAGGTATATGGGCTTCTTCAAGAACTGATAGACATGCATATGTGCAATACGAGCAGCAGCAGCAGCAGCAATACCAGCATCCAGGATAACTCTGACGGGTGTCGTAGTAGTAGCACAGGTTTTATACAGTGCACTGCTCGTACACCCACACAACCTGTCCTACTCAGCCTGCCCTATCCTGGTGAGCAGCACAACCTCAGTGACTTATTTTCCTGGCTGCACTGTATGCCATATATGGCAGCCTGGGACGGATGGGTTTGTAGTGGTGTCAAGGCATGCTCTTCCTGTTGTCTTCTCCAGTTTTGTATTGCATTTTAAAACCCATTGTGTTAGTTCTTGCCCGTGAAAGAGGATTGACATGCTTTTCTGCATGATTCTCCACTCTTCCGCGTTATATAAGGCCATTCACTTACAATTAGCGAGGTAATGATATTATATAAATCGTGTCGTCTCGATTCGCAAAGTGTAGATCCCTCACGCACTAGAACAAGGGTCCCTGTGAGCAGCATTGCTCCTTCAGTTTCTTTCAACAAGCAATTAACAAGGACAAGTACAAGTAGACTATTTTTCTACCTATTGTATAACACCATGCTCCATCGCATGTTTAGACTCATAGTTGACCTCTGCCGGAGAGATAAGGTATAGCCTATTGAGACTGGTTTTCAATCCTAAAATCCAGTCAGTATCTACCCCGTGTACACTGATTACTCATTGACGGGTTCACTCTACTTCTATTTGTTGTTCACTGTGCGCAGAGGATTGCAGTGGTGCTTTCTCAGTTGTGAATGAGCTCCACAAAGCTGCTGCTGCTTCTGCGGCCATTGCCACAAGCAACAGGGCCAGTCACACGCCACGAGTGCTAGTGTTCTCGCTGACCAGTGCTGATCAGCAGGCACGTTCTTTGGCCGCAGTGTCCAGTGCTGCGGAGCAGGGTGACTGGATTGTCTACACCGACTCTTGGTGTAGCTCCAGCACATGGACAGAAGGAGTGCTACAGCTTCTTGCGGTATGTTAGTCTAGCTTCATGACAGCAGGCTCTCTTTGTAATATGTTGTAATTTGTTTCAGGGTTCCCCAGAGGCTGGAAGGCCTGTTGAGCGGTCTCCATACCAGCATATAAAACATGAATGACCCATGTAGCGGGGAGAGAGCTCTATCCTCTGTGCACTTCATAGTGAATGCTATAAGTTGAGTGAACCACATGTAAATGTGCTACTGGCATTATGTTGAGCAGTGTGCAGCCAAATGAATAATATCAGCCCAAGCAACTATGTTATTCCCGCACCTAACATATTATTGTTGACAGTTGACTGGGAGTAATACGTGATATGATTGTAGTGGAACACAATCAGACAAATGCTGCTATGTTGCTACGGGTAACGGGGATAATAGCAATCGTAGTCGAGGAAGTTGGATTGCACAAGTCCTTCTGTCGAGCACCCTGCCTCAGTTGTAAGAGTTCTCTAAGAGGTCCATTATAACTGCCCTACTCATCCACACATACTTGGTCCGGCTCATCGCAATTGTCGCTTATCTTTGACAGTCCAAAACTTGAAGTTTGCTTCGCTTTATGACAAACCCAGCCGTTACGGTACAGAAGAACAACTCATAAAGACATTCAAATGAGATACAACAGGTTCAGCAATTGTACAGAGCGTAGCGAGTCCGCTGAAGGCGGCAAGGTAGCGAAAAATAGCAAGTTTTTTTCAAACCACGCGAGGTCACAGATACATACAAGTCAAGACAAGAGTTACTCATCCGATTCAGCATCGCTGGAGCTGCTGTCGCTTGAGTTGACAGTTGCTGGCGTGTCCAACTGCTGGGCCATTGTTTCTTTCGCCTTCTCAGCCTGGCGGATAGCAGAGATTGGAAAGAAGCGGTTGTGGCTGTCACCTCTGCGCTTTGAAGAACTGTGGGCAGCACGGCTCCCTGTGTGGTGACTGTAGCTATTGTCACCGTGCGTTTCCACGATGCCTTTGAACGAGGCATAAAGAACTCTCCATACAGCTGCCATACGGTCCATTGGATATTCTGACCACGACTGTTCAACTGCCGCCACCAGGTCCGTCACAGTTCTCTTCGCCACCATCTCGACATCAGTCTGAAGACTTGCGAAGAATGCAAGGTCATTGCAGTTCAAGTCGGGTGACTGCGCAGGCTGCGTAACAACACGAATGTTGAAACCTTTCTTCGCACCATGTCGAATCCAGTGCTGTTGATTTGCCTTTGCGGTGTGGGGCCTGGCTCCGTCGTGCTGGTAAAACAATGGCTTGCCAGCTTCAGGAGTCGCTGCATCGCGATGGAACCACCATAGCTTCTCTCTCATGGCATCAAACACACCGTTCTTCTTTAGCATGACACTCCTGTACTCTTCGGCAGTCAATGTGACACTCTCGAGGATGTCAGTTTCGCCAGCGACAGTTCCTGTTTTCGGGTTGCTGCGCTTGGCTTTTCGCTGTAATGTGAATGGCCAGATACCGACTTTGCCATCGAACTCGTACGCATCACACGGCTTAGCTGTGACTGCCAAAACATCACTTTTGGCATCCGCGATTTGTGATACACACGCGGATCAGCTGCCATGTTCACGACTTGCTCCACAACTCCATCTTCGTTTGCAACATTTTGGGGGAACACACGGCAAACAGTACCATCTCTCATGAGGTAAAACCACTTCTCATCCCCGTGGCAAATGTTGTTGTCGACAAACTTCCTCCTGCTCTTTTCGTAGTGCTCGATCGCCCAAGAAAGACGATCGTGCCGATGTTTGGGGCTGAGAAGTGGTTTTATGTAGCGACGACGGCGTGTCGCACCCAGAGTTTTGCACCAGCGCTTCACGGAGGATGTGCTGCTAGGGAAGCCAGCGCAAGTGAGCTCGCCTGCAAGTTTCTTACAAGACAGCTTACCCCAATGCTTGTCGTTGATTTCAATCAACTTCTTCGCAAGCTCCTCGGTGAGTACAATGTTTTGGCCTCCACACAAGCTGGCACGTCGACGTGTGAGGCGGACTTTCCCCGCAGCCTCCGCGTCCATAGTTTGCGTCTTGTACAGGTCGACTATTCTTTGTACCGTCCTTGCCGTGAGATTGAGGTGAGGAAAACGGGCTTTCAGACTGGCCATGGAACCTCGTGGCAGGCGATCACGGCCCTTGCAGAGCTCAAGGTACGCGGTGACAACCCTCCAGCGATCCGGCGTTTTCACATCTGCACACTTCTTTCGCGGTGTAGGTGCGCGCGTCCGCTTGCTACTTGGTGTAGCTAAACCCGCCATGCGCGATGCCACTCGCGACAATCGTGGTGGTTTTTTCTTAGAAGACTTCTCTGATCTTGCCATCACAACTTCAAACACAAAAGTGAGTCAGAAAAAGCGATCTGACTGGCTTTTGCCCGCCAAAAAGTGCGTGGGAGATAAGCGACAATTGCGATGAGCCGGACCAAGTTCCATGATGTTATGTGTCTTATCTTGCTGGTTTTGCAGGTACTGGTTGCGTATGCATCTCAATCAAACCTTCAAAGTGTGCTGCAAATGGAGAAAAGCGACCTTCGGACGGTGTTCCATCCTCTCTTCCGTGTGATTGTACCAGTTCTAAACCAGCAGAGCATCAGTGAAGCGATTCCTACTTTCCTTCTCAGTCACTCAATGAAAACATCGCTTGATCTTCGTGATGACTTGAACCTCGTCCAAGCTGACAACTACCAAGCAACTAAAGCCGCTCTGTTGAAGGATGATGTCGCGGGTTTGCACGGGATTCCAACTAACAGCATTGCGCAATATGTTGCAATGCTGCATAGTGTCATGCAGTGGACAAGCATGTGTGCACCACGGATGCTGGCAGGACCCTACCTATGGTAAGAAAGCAGATCATTTCATTGGGTGTGTATTGCCAGCTAAGGGGCCATCCGGCATTATCGATAATTTTCACGAAACGAAAAAATAGTCATGACCCTCCCCCATCCACCCACCCCTAAGCAAAAAATATATAGACTTGACGACTAGAATGGATTCATGTTACAGCTATGAACATTTTCGAAATGAAACTGCTCAACCACCCCACCCATAACTTTTTCGTTTCGTGTAAAAGATCGATAATCCTGGACTAACTGACTAGCTGATGAGCCACACTGGACTTGGCTCTATGAATGAGGATACTGTGCACGGTATCCAGTACTGCATACAGTGTATGTTGCCGGGTTTCTAAAGTGTGTCACAATGATCTCCAGCGTGACTAGGACTTCTCCAGCTGGACAATCGGGTCTGTTATTGATCATGATGGGTCACTGACCAAGCCTTTTGTGTTCTATTTCATTGTTTAGTTTTACAATGAGTGTGTGTGTGTGTGTGTGTGTGTGTGTGTGTGTGTGTGTGTGTGTGTGTGTGTGTGTGTGTGTGTGTGTGTGTGTGTGTGTGTGTGTGTGTGTGTGTGTGTGTGTGTGTGTGTGTGTGTGTGTGTGTGTGTGTGTGTGTGTGTGTGTGTGTGTGTGTGTGTGTGTGTGTGTGTGTGTGTGTGTGTGTGTGTGTGTGTGTGTGTGTGTGTGTGTGTGTGTGTGTGTGTGTGTGTGTGTGTGTGTGTGTGTGTGTGTGTGTGTGTGTGTGTGTGTGTGTGTGTGTGTGTGTGTGTGTGTGTGTGTGTGTGTGTGTGTGTGTGTGTGTGTGTGTGTGTGTGTGTGTGTGTGTGTGTGTGTGTGTGTGTGTGTGTGTGTGTGTGTGTGTGTGTGTGTGTGTGTGTGTGTGTGTGTGTGTGTGTGTGTGTGTGCATGTGTGCGTGTCACCAACTGCTTTCACGTCACCGTCCCAGATATTGTGTGCATCTATTATTGTTGCTTCAGACTGTCAGACTAAAGGTATGTATTGTGTATTCCTCCAGAAATATGGCTGATCTGTTACACAAGTCTGCACTTTGGTATTATGCTTCACAGGAACTCTGCACACTTGCAGGATGCGGTCAGTCTGGTGCTCTCGGCATTGCAATGCGATGGACTCCTAACGAAATCACCAGACTTTCGCACAATCACTCAAATCCTTGTCAGCTTTGTGTATTCACAGTCAGTGAAGGTTGACCGGGACCAGCGGTCTGTGAAGGCGCTTGCTGAGCTATGTTGCAAACTATGGAGTGAAGTAAGTTGGTATTTCAGTACTCTTCCAGAATGTATTTTGAGTTTGTCTTGTTCATGGAGTAGAATGGTTGTTACTCCTAATTATCTGCTGTGGTCGGCTAATATCCAGATTCTCCAAACTGGCCAGTGTTCCCACTTCACCTCGAGATGTTGCAATACATAAATAAATACATAACATTCTGTGTCAGAGTCGCTTAGCTAATGCCACCTCAGGCATGTGTACTAGAGTAGGAATGTCAGCGAACGCACTGCGCAGGCCTCTGCGCATGCATTGCGTCATCGATTTTTTGAACGTGATCGCGGCCGACAGAGAAAACATGGCCGCGGTCTGTTTGCACCGCTGGGAGTCGTAAAATTACTGTTCTTCTGTCCCCGTGACCATTCAAATCATACGCGATACTCGAGGACCCACGTACTCACCACGTTCTCCCCGGTCGATTTCTCTGAAAGTTTGCACATCGTGAAACACCAGTATGAGAGGTGTTCAGGCCAATTTTCAAGGAATTTCCCTGGTTGGATCGTTCCAAAATCGGACTTGCATTTCTCGCTCGCGGCCATTTCTTGCGCGATGGAAGCGCCCTGCCCTGGTGAGTAACCAGCATCGTGCTTGGTAGAGAGTTGCTGCAATCAGCTCCCTGATGTCTTCGCTGCCATTGTCAGAAGCGATGGACCATGAATTTGTTTGAGAGTCTCTGGATGCTACTATTCCTCAGCCTTGTTCTCAGCCATTCCGTGCATCTTCTTCGCACGATTTATTTTGCAAAAAATGAAAGTATTCATGAGTTTTCTTGTCGGCCGCGCGTAGATGGGCCAGGCTGACCTGCGCAGATGGGCTGCGCAGTGCGTTCGCTGATATCCCTAACTAGAGTGTCGGTACATAGTCGTAGAAGCCAGTCCGACTGGACCAGCTTGTCAAGCTCTGGCCAAGCCGCTTTTCAAGCAATCAACCATATGATGGTATTGAGGAAGAGATAGAAGACAGCAGATGGTTGTTGATCTGTGTGTACTGTACTGGCCGGATTGTTTACAGCTGGCCGGGCTGTTTACAGCTGGCCAGACTGTTTTCAGCTGGCCGGACTGTTTACAGCTGGCCGGACTAATCTTACAGGGAGTGCTTGCGCATGCTTTACGCTAACATAAGGCAATCGGTGTGCAGTGGTATCGGACCAGGTCAACTTGGGCATGCATGTGATGAATGACCTGGACCTGATGATCTTGTTTTACTGGAAATGTTCACATTCAGGTCTGTCTGTTGCGCAGTGATTGTGCAACATGTGGCCATTGAGTATCGAGTGCTGGTATAATGCCCAGTAGATCTACTGTTTTACAGTCACACCAAGACCTATGGAAAATATTTATCATCGTAGAATTCCCGTTTTTCTTCTGTTTGTCCAGGAAGTGGAGATTGTGGCTGACTTTGGTACGATGACGGTTAAAGCTGTTGAGGGCAGCATCAGCAGCAGCAGCGCAAGAGGTGCTGGACTTCATAACAAGCTGGCATCTTTGCAGCATATGGATTTCAGTCTTTTCCAAGAGTGCAGATCAAGGTACTACACTTTGTGTGTCCAGTCTATGAAGGGGAAATGTAGATTGTGTTCAACATTGGCATCCTGTGCAAGTATCGGCACACCATGTCACCGTAGCAACATGTTTCAAATTTGTTTTTAAATGTTTTGCTGTTTCTGCACAATTGATAAGTGATGGTTTGATTTTTGGTGGACTATGCTGGAGAGTTGGAAGGTACATGTATTTGAGAGTGGTGCAGTCAGTCACCGGAGGTGATCCCCCAGCAGGATACCTGGGGCCAAATGTGATAATGACCAATGGTAGTGACCGTAGCGTATCCGCACAAGTGTGTTTTATAGCTGTGCTGTTCAATGCCTGCGTTGGGGGACATGTGTGATCAAATTCAGTTTGTTGGTTGTTGTACTGTTAAATTGCATTGTTTTATGAGCACCACTGTACACACACACACACACACACACACACACACACACACACACACACACACACACACACACACACACACGCAAACACACATACAGATCAATCTACCGTCATTGCATCCCAGTCATTGTATGGCATATTGACTGTGTGCGGTTCGTTGTATGTAAGTTATATGTGCGTGCGTTGTGTGTGTACACATGTGTATGTGCGTGCGTTGTGTGTGTACACACGTGTATGGGTGGGTTGCATGTGCTATGTCACACAGGCTCCTGTTGAAAGAGCTGCAAGGGCTCACTTCACCAACTTCGTTGACTGCGGCAGGCGCTCTAAATGATCACCAAGTTGGATCTGTTCTCCAGCGCGTTGAGTGGGTCATCAACTACTTGCAGTCCATGCTCAAACTTGCCCAGCGCGCAGCACTTGCTAAGGACAACAAGATAGGTACGGGTACACAGCTTCCATTCTGGCTGGATACCGAAAGCCTGCTATATGAAACGAACATAGCAGCGTTGCTGAATGATGATAGCAAGCGGCTACAGGCAGTGTTGAAAGGCCATGAATGTTGGAACTCTACAACGGATGACGTGTTTCTATCGGTCCTCTCTGGAAAGGTTCCTGCTGCTTGGGAGAAGAGATTTCCACAGCTCCATGCACATGCACACAGCATTTTGAGCTGGATCGATGCTCTATCAGATCTGACGAAGGAACTGGAGATGCATCTGGCGCGTGCCGCAACCCCACGTGACCCAGTCAAAGTCTACACCTCAAGTGAACGGCCGATACGACTGGGACTGCTCTTTCACCCCAACGCTTTCTTGAAGTGCATTATGACCACAGCGGCAGAGACTTCATCAAAGACACTCCGTGATCTATATTGGGCAATAGAGGTATGTGATCTACATTGGGCAATAGAGGTATGTAGTACAGCTGTAGTGAGTCTCTCTGATTTTATCCCTGGCTGTTGTGTCCAAGGCCAAACTATTATGTGCACAGGGTTAATGGATGTACAGAATGTAGGCTCACCATACCTGGTGGTGTTCCTGGACTTGAGTGTATGGTGTAGCATTCTGCAGTTGCTTCCCAAATGAAGCTATTCAAGAGTACCTCGAAATTACAGAACTTTGGCATCGCTGTACTCTCTGAGGCATATGTCGTATTCAGTTTGGTTGCCGTTTTGTCATGTGGAACCTTTTTGTGATGCCATGTTTTATGCCGTCTTTTCTATTGTGAAGAAGAGGTTGGTGCAACTTTGGCGATACTTGGGGAATCGCGGTTTTCCTGCCGACTTGAATTCTCACCTGAGTGACTCATGACTGCCATCCAGAGTCTTTTCTATTGTTTTGTGTTTTTGCTTCTGGCAGTTGCCATCCGCTTCTAGAGTTGCGCATGCTTCAAAGCCAGTTGTGCAACTGACAGCCACAAACTTGACTGCTCTGGGACTAGGCGATGGCCTCACCATTAATCCGGAGACCCTTGGCAGCACCAGTGGACAAATGCAACATTCTTCAGGCACAGTACGACTCACACTTCTTGTGCAATCAGATGCCTCGGATGATTGTGACAGTTTGGAGCAGAAAAACATGTGCGGGCAGCAGTATCCGTCAGTTGATGTACTACGCACTACCTGGGATTGTTCCACTGGCACTGCGTTGACGGAGAGTATTCTCTCTGCTGCCCTTAAACTGGACGACCAGCAGCAGCAACAGGCAGGCATGTCAAGCTTGCAAGTCTATGCGCAGTGTGCTTGCTTTATGGCGCATTAGTTGGTGCAACAGTCACCTTGCCGAACTTGTAAGCATGGTTATGTGTGAAAGGAGTGGTGACTCTAACTCACAGGATTTAATTATATCTGTGCTTCTGGCACGCAGTTGAGTGTTGGCAGAATATTTCGTGCAGCATTACTGTTGCTTCATTTCAAATTGATTTTCCGTACCAGTCAATATGATAATATTGGAAATTAGAGCCTATTGACTGATTGACAGCGGGTTTTTATTGTGACCCGGTCCGTTTGTCTTTTGTTGCTTCTGTGAATATTGCTGCGTTTTATCAAAGATGTTATCCGCTATATGATGATGATTAGTTGATGGTTCAGCGGAATGTTCCTTTCTATTCTAACAGTACTCGTAACTATTCTGAAGCAAATATAATATATGTCTTGGCCACAACTCAAATTGTGCTGCTATTTATTTTATTCGCTGAACTGAAACTGGATGTTGTTTTTCAACGTCAGTTCTCAGTCCTGCTGGTACTATTTCTTCGAATGTGAAAACATGTGATATGCTGTAACAGCTCTTTTATTTGGGTGGTATGGTATCAAAGCTCCTTTCCAGAGCACGCTAAAATATGAGCAGACCAAAAATTCGATTTTCAGTGTTTTGTTTAAAAATGATCAAACACACCTAATGTTCACTGTCTGAAAGTTTTGGGATTGATCGGACATGTCTAAGTGTTGCTACAATGGTATGCAGCACTGTTGAAATGGTGAAATTCTAATTCCACAGACCAAAAATTCGATTTTCAGTTTTTTGTTCAAAATGATGTTCACTGTCTGAAAGTTTTGGATTGATCGGACATGTGTTGCTACTTCCTCCGCGTCATCGAAATAATTGTCGCAGTTTTACTTTTGATATAAAACGGGGTATTTACTCACCAGCACTCGTACCAGAGGCAAGGAATCGGACAGGCGATAGTCATCAGTATAGGGTGACGGCAAAGTTCTATTTTCTGTTATTGGAAGATGAAATTTTTGAACTAGACGCAAGTTCTTCGCTGATGTCGCTGCGATGGTAATTTCGACTCGCTGAGATCAGTCAGGCGTTGCAGCCTGCACATTTCTCGTGCTTATGGCCATTCACTCAAGCCTCATCACTGTTTTACCTTAGCTGGGGTGAGAATGACTTTGTGGAACAGGTGGCAGCGCTTGGTGAGACATCGAGGGGTCAGCAAAGTAAATGCATGCAACAGCGATAAAATTTGTCGCTCTGGCTGAGACACTACACTCAGTATAATGATTGTACCTGCAAGAGCCTTGTAGACTCTACACGTAGTGCTAGTGATGCATGCGCAGGTGTCGTACCAGTGATGCTGAAAAAGAGGGCGCGCTGGACGTGATAGAACACTTACCTGCATGAGCTGTGACCACACAGCTAAAATAAATGGTCATGCCACGGCTAAAAAAAGTTCATTTCAAGATCGAGGTGATTCCGCCGACGGTAATCAACCGACCTCGCAACGATCGTGTATTCTTACTAGGCTTCGTTGGTGGTGTGGAAATCATCCAGAGCTAGCAGACGACAAGCATAGCAGCTCTTGTCCTGTGGAGAAAGTCAAAGCGTTTGAGATGAGGCGCGACCGACTTTCAACCTTCCTTGAAATATTTCGGAACGATATATTTGCGTCCATTGACATCAGCGACGACGAGGACTTCATCTCCGCATGAAAACTTTCAGTCCAACTGTCCAGGAACGTTACTCAAGTCTTCAGACTATCATCCTGTGTAATAAATTTTGAATGGTTTAGCTTATGGAGTTGTCAGTAACAAGTCACTGGTCAAACTGCGACAATTTCGATGACGCGGAGGAAGTACAATGGTATGCAGCACTGTTGAAATGGTGAAATTCTATGTACAGTCAAGTTGGCACACAGTTGATATGTCCCTCGGTTCATCCTTTCCCGGTCAGTTTCTCTGTCCAGGGTCTTATAGCATGAGCTGACAGGTACTCGGCCACATCCAAAATTTCTATACTGTAGGCAGCTGAGCTGGGTGTCCGAAACACCTCCTTTGGAGCACCACTGGAGAATCGCCAGCGAAAACACCGTCAACATCTGTAGATGGCCGAAGAAGTTGGCACTCCACATCCTCTCCATCACACTCCACCTGTACTTTCAGATATACAGTGTACACTGCTGCCCACAGTCTTCCTCAACATATCGATGTCGCACTCATATTCCCCACACCAAAGCCCATCTGCACACGGTTTTCTCCGCTCGCCAGAGAGTACTGCTTTCGCTGCCTACTGCTCATGCTAGCGATGTTCTGCATAAGGGTACGACTTGAGCAAGTTGAGGGAGCAGCAGAGTCCACTTGCAACCAATACTGGCATTGTCCCGGATATGTGCAGCGATGTCCATTCTGGCCAAATCATCGGCCGACTCACCTCCCAAGTCAGTGTCGATGCCAATCGCTTGCCAGGTTGTCCGCATCAGGGTAGAATTCCTCGTCACTGCAGATCGTGGGACTACCTGCATCAATTATTTTACGCTCGATGAAAGTGTCGCCCTCAAATGACTCGTCGCTGTAGCCATCATAGTCTTCCTTCTGTTTCCGACCAGAATCCTCAAAATATTTTATCCTGCGCATGGAGTGCGATGATGTCATCTTCTTCCGCTCCGCAGTACATTACTACTACTAGGGCTATTCCGTCGATACATCGATGACGATCAGTTTTAGGCGACTCAGCGCAACATGGAATACAAACTCAAACAAATAAACTTACTTGCAACAAAGAAATGCATCCGGAACAGTCCAGGCGACCGAGGAGAACAACAACAGCAACTCGCGTTGCACTGCACTTCGTATTTTTTTGCCGCGGAATTCAAATCGCGATTATCTCGACTTTTTCCAAAAAAGCTGTTGTCATGTTTTCTAGGCTGATTTCGGCCGAAATTGTCAGATCATGCCGGCACAAAAATCGCCTCGTATAAAGATTTCACGTACAAGGTTTGGACAATTTCTGGCGTTTTGCTGGCCATACGATTTTTGGGGGCACGTATTGATATTTGGAACCATTACACAAGTAGCCTGCTGGCATGCAGGCACGAAGTTAACCCAATGTAGCCAGCAGCAATACACTGAGAAAGAGCTCCCGAGTCTCCAGTCCCCTCTGCCTAATATCCGCTTCAGTGTGTATGTGTGCCTCGCGAACATTTGCCATCGTAAACTCGCTTGTTCTTAGAAGTCGTGAAAATTTAGTGATGCAAATATTGGGTAGTTAACAGCAGTCTGCTGGACCTAGTCCTACTACAGTAGAGCCGCGCGTTGAAGAACGTGGAGCACAAGAACGCCACAGCCTAAAGTTAAAGGGGAAGTGCATCAATTTTTCGAGTAGGGTCCAGAAGAAAGACAATTTGATATCGGTTCGAATGGCATATCTCTCGCTGCCATACGATAAGCCAAACTTGCCAAATCGCCAATTGTATGCTCACGTTGCCATAGCGACCAGCGGAGTGATGACGTACGAAAGGCTTAGCTCCTCCACAGAGAAGGTCAATCACTGCATAAATTGGTCATTTTCAATTGTCTTATTGTATTCACGATGTGAAAGAAGTGCTGTGTTCAATGCTGTTAGTGCCGTGAACTATTTGTCGCCCTTCTCATGCATTTCCCTAGGCTGACTGTGCCTAGGAAATGGTTTCCTCCAGGACAAGATGCTTGGAATTCGCCGTCTCTCCTGAGACATTTTCAGCAAACTTTCAAACCTACGACATTATTTCATTCGTCAATCTCCACCACCCGTCGTCTCACCTGGCTTCAGAAGATGTTACGAGAGATAGGAGAGTCGCCAGGAAGCATCACATTCATCTTCAGGAAGTGGAAAGAGCAAACGGCATGGTCCTTGGTTGGGGGAAATGCTGAACGTCTGATTTGTCCCAACCAAGATTTCAGCATTTTGTTCGTCACTATTTTCGCTTGTCTGCTGGTGTCTCCGCGCTCCAGCTTTCTCCTGTCGGTGTCACGTCCCAGTACACAACCGAGAGGACTACTAACAAACAGTTCACTGCACTTACAGCATTGAACACAGCCCTTCTTTCACTTCGTGAATACAATACACCAATTGAAAATGACCAAATTCTGCAGTGATCGACCTTCTCTGTGGTGGAGCTAAGCCTTTCGTACGTCATCACTGCGCTGGTCGCTATGGCAACGTGAGTATACAATTGGCGATTTGGCAAGTTTGGCTTATCGTATGGAAGCGAGAGATATGCCATTCGAACCGATATCAAATTGTCTTTCTTCTGGACCACTCGAAAAATCGATGCACTTCCCCTTTAAGAACGGCGGTGTTGGTTTTCTGGCAGCTTGTGGGATACATATGATTTAGTACGGATTGTTTTTAAGAACGTACTATAACACAGCCAGATTGCTGAAAAATACGTACAGCTTGTGGGATACATATGATTTAGTACGGATTGTTTTAAGAACGTACTATAAGAACACAGCCAGATTGCTGAAAAATGAACGTACTATAAGAACACAGCCAGATTGCTGAAAAATAAGAACGTCCCAGGCTAACCCCTCGTTCTTGGGCGCGGTATGGTGCTGGCCAGAGGAATTCAACGCCATGAATAAAATCGCGCCGAGTAAAGGCGCAGCCCTATCACTACACATTCTGTTCTGTACATTCCAACACGTCACTATCCCATGAAAATAACCTTCCCCTCCCATGTTACTAGAACTTCATACCTTCCAAGTTCAAAAAGTGGAAGGCTGTTGGAGTGCGAATCCAAGACGTGAAGCTGATCGGCAGTTAGTTATCGAACGCATCAGTACCGTTGGTCAATGTCGTGCAATGTTTATCCCATACGCTAATTGTCTAGTGACTGGTGGTGTTAGTGGACATTATGGCATGCCTTGTACACAATAGACAAGGTTGACATTTTTACCGTTCACGTTAAATCCAACGCGTACCCAACACCCAAAATATCGGTGTTTGGCTTGTGGAGGAGCTGGTGGAAATACTCCAACGCCATTGCCACGCACTAGTTGTTTTATTGCATGTGAGTAGTAGGCAGCACACCTACAAATACGTTCATTCTAATTGACCGTCATTTAGTTTTTCATTGATAACATCTTCAAGCGGTTTGTGAATGAGGGAGTATGAAATCTTACAACTAACATGCTTTCCCTGCCCCCAATTCTACACAATGGGCGCTTTCGATTACACGTTTACACAATTCTGGAATGACCAGAATGAGCGGATTCCGGCCTTGTATATGAACGACTGGAATTCACAACGCATTTTATTCATGTCATGTCACAAACAAAATTGATGAATCGTAAAAAGAGATCACGTACACCCTCGCGCGCACGTGGACCCAGCATCGCGCACCCGCCGGCCAGGGAGGCTCTTCGCGCGCTTGAGTCATGACCAGACCGGTAACACACCGACTGTGCAATTCTGGCGCCAGAATTAGAGAAATTCCGCCCTCTCTTCAGAATTGACGGATTTGACGGAATTGGATAAAATCAATTCTAACGACGGAATTTGTCACTTTTTGTGTAATCG